ATGTTGAGACTCTAGAAAGAGTACAGAGAAGAGCAACAAAGATGATTAGGGGACTGGAGGCTAAAGCATATAAGGAAAGGTTGCTGGAATTGGGTATGTCTAGTTTAATGAAGAGAAGGACGAGGGGGGACATGATAGCAGTGTTCCAATATCTCAGGGGCTGCCACAAAGAAGAGGGAGTCAAGCTATTCTCCAAAGCACCTGAAGGCAGGACAAGAAGCAATGGGTGGACTATTGCAACGCTCTCTACATGGGGCTCCCCTTGAGGTGCACCTGGAGGCTCCAGCTAGTTCAGAATGCGGCCGTGCGGGGGATTTTGGGGGCCTCTAGATACTCCCATGTAACACCTCTCCTGCGCGAGCTGCACTGGCTGCCGGTGGCCTTCCAGGTGCGCTTCAAGGTGTTAGTAACAACTTTTAAAGCGCTCCATGGCAATGGACCTAGGTATTTGCAAGACCGTCTCCTACCAAACACCTCCCTTCGACCAGTCCGCTCCCACAGAGAGGGCCTCCTTAGGGTGCCGTCGGCCAGTCAATGCCGGCTGGCGACCCCCAGGGGGAGAGCCTTCTCTGTGGCAGCTCCTGCCCTCTGGAATGACCTACCCCCCGACCTACGTACAACTACGGACCTGCGCCTCTTCCTCCGAGCCTTGAATACCCATCTATTCCATGCGGCCGGCCTGGCGTAGTTTTGATTGGGCTTTGCAAGGGGTTTTAAATGGGGTATTTTAGAGCAGGCTTTTTATTCAATATTTATTGTGATTTTTATTATTGCCTGTTCACCGCCCTGAGTCCCGTAAGGGAGATAGGGCGGTATATAAATTTAAATAATAAATAAATAAATAAATAATCAAGGAGAGAAGCAACATAGAACTAAGAAGAAACTTCCTGACAGTTAGAACAATTAATCAGCGGGACAACCTGCCTCCAGAAGCGGTGAATGCGCCAACACTGGAAGTTTTTAAGAAGAAACTGGACAGCCATTTGTCTGAAATGGTATAGGGTTTCCTGCCTGAGCAGGGGATTGGACTAGATGACCTCCAAGGTCCCTTCCAACTTTATTATTATTATTATTATTATTATTATTATTATTATTATTATTATTATTATTATTATTATTATTGAGTGAATGAATGAATGAGTGTATATATGTATGAATGAATGAATGATCGGATACAGCACCACATCATGTAACCAGGGAGGCAGTTTGGGTGGAACAATGAAGCCAGGGAGAAATACTAGCAGCTCGCAGGGGTAGGCAACCTTGGCTCTTTTATGACTGGTGGACTTCAACTCCCAGAATTCCTGAGCCAGCATGGCTCAGCTTGGAAACCTCTCCCTTTCCCCTCAGCGTGGCTGGCTCAGGAATTCTGGGAGTTGAAGTCCACCAGTCATAAAAGAGCCAAGGTTGCCTACTCCTGAGCTAAAGAATCCTAGGGAGAATTTTTTTCCTGCAAGTACAAAGGCAGAGTCCCTCACTGCCAAGGGATCTCTGCAAACGAAGATGCATGGCGCATAGCCATGACTTTAGTGTGGCTGCTCTACGAAATTCAGCACAAACTACCCCTCGTCTTCCTGGAGAGCTCCACTTCCCTGCTCCACAATTCAGGCAGAAATTAATAGACCTCGAGCTGCCTCCCGACACTCCAACCCCCTCCCCACCCCCCACCCCCCACCCCCCCTAACTCACCGGAAGTGCAGTTTACGACAGGGGCGCTCAGCATCGCTGGCCTTCATGCACTCCTCCTTGGTTCCGTAGTCGCAGAACTCCTGAACCTGTGCCCGCCCTCGCGAGCGGAACTTTTCCACGATGGACTGCTCCTTGGCCGTTGTCGTGTTCAGCAGCTCCAGAATTTCTTGACTCACCTGGAAAGGCCAGGAGGCGAAGAACCATGTTGGGGGAACAGGAGTAACCAAGAGAGGCTCAGGTTTTTGAAAAAAGAAGAGAAAGCGAAGATCGGAGCCCCGAGATTCCAATTCCAATTCCTAAAGGTCTGAGGAGCCTCCATATACATTGCTAACTTTTCTGGAAGTTTTTAAGAAGGGATTGGACAACCATTTGTCTGAAATGCTGTAGGGTTTCCTGCCTGAGCAGGGGGTTGGACTAGAAGACCTCCAAGGTCCCTTCCAACTCTGTCATTCTATTCTATTCTATTCTATTCTATTCTATTCTTATTTCAATTAAGATTCTATTCTATTCTTATTTCAATTAAGATTCTATTCTATTCTAATTCTATTCTATTCTTATTTCAATTAAGATTCTATTCTATTCTATTAAGATTCTATTCTATTCTTATTTCAATTAAGATTCTATTCTATTCTTATTTCAATTAAGATTCTATTCTATTCTTATTTCAATTAAGATTCTATTCTATTCTATTCTTATTTCAATTAAGATTCTATTCTATTCTATTCTATTCTTATTTCAATTAAGATTCTATTCTATTCTTATTTCAATTAAGATTCTATTCTATTCTATTCTCTTATTTCAATTAAGATTCTATTCTATTCTATTCTATTCTATTCTATTCTATTCACATTTGGAGGTCAAATACAGGTAGTCTTCAACTTACAACCACAACTGAGCCCCCAATTTCTGTTACCAAGTGAGGCAATTATTAATTGCATTTTACCTTTTTTTGCCACAGTTGTTAAGTGAATCACTGCAATCGGTCAGTGAATCATGAGGTGATTAAGCAAATTTGGCTTCCCCCATTAACTTGGCTTATCAGAAGTCAGCCGGGAAGGTTACAAACAGTGATCACGTGACCCCCGGGACACTGCAACAGTCATACGTACATGCCAGTTGCCAAGCACCTGAATTTTGATCCCGTGACCCTGGGGATGCTGCAATGCTTGTAAGTGTGAAAACCGGTCACTTTTTTCAGTGCCGTTGTAAGGTCGAACGGTCATTAAACGAATGGTTGTAAGCAGTGGTGGGGTTCAAATATGTGAACAACCGGTTCTCTGTGTGGATGCCGCTTCCGGAAGTCCATTCCAGGCCTGGGCAACCAAAAATTAGCTACCGGTTCTGCCGAAGTGGTGTGAACTGGCTGAATCCCACCACTGCCTTGATCTCAATCCTTCCTTCCTTCCTTCCTTCCTTCCTTCCTTCCTTCCTTCCTTCTCTCTGCTTTTCTGCCTTCCCTTCCCTTCCCTCTCCTTCCCTTCTCTCCTTCCCATCTCCTTCTTTCTTTCCTTCCTTCCTTCCTTCCTTCCTTCTCTGCTTTTCTGCCTTCCCTTCCCTTCCCTTCCCTTCCCTCTCCTTCCCTTCTCTCATTCCCATCTCCTTCTTTC